TTGTCAGTTTTCATTCAAACTTGGTACATAGATTAAACATGTTAGGATAGATGTCCATGACGATTTATTTCACAATTGGATCAAAGATGGCCGACTGGCAGCCATCTTGTTTTTTGAAAATGTCGTATTTTGGACATGCTTTGTCAGTTTTTATTCAAATTTAGTACATAGATCATGCATGTTAGGATACATGTCCCCGACCGTCCGTGAGTTCCAGAGTCTGTCAGTCCGTCCGTCTGTCGTGTCCGTGCGTCAGTCCGTCCGTCTGTCCAGAGTCGTATTTCAGAATCCTGTGGACTTATTCCGTTCTTTCTTTGCATGTGCGTAGTACTTTATGTGGGACATATGCACATGCAGTGGTTTAGCGATTCGATTCAAAATGGTCGACTGGCAGCCATCTTGTTTTTTGAAAATGTTGCATTTTGGACATGCTTTGTCAGTTGTCATTCAAACTTGGTACATAGATTATACATGTTAGGATACATGTCCATGAGGATTTATTTTGCAATTGGATCAAAGATAGTCGACTGGCAGGCATCTTTTTTTTTTTTTTATGCGGTATCTTGGACGTGCTCTGTCAGTTTTCATTCAAATTTGGCACATACATGTACTTTATACTTGTTAGGATGCATGTCCATGACAATTTCTTTCAAAATCTGGTCAAGGATGGCCGATTGACAGCCATCTGACTTTTTGGCCTTACTACTATATTTCCACAATTTATGTATCATTTTTATTTGTTTTTGCACATCATACATATCAGTGTGTTTCATAATCAAATCAAAAATGGCCGAATAACGGCTGTTTTTATTTTTGGCCATATTACTACTACACGGAACATGTGTTTTGATGTAAATAAACAATCTGTTGTATACGCCACTTGGAACTCAAGTTTCAAGAACACGCTCGCGACAACCCCTCCGCTTTAATATGACAAGCATGAAGAGAACTTTCAAAAATTTAACGGGGACTGTGTCATTTTCAATGAACTTGTTTTGATTAATTCCTGTAGTAAATGGAAAATTGACACTTGTACAAAAATATAGAAAACAATGTGGAAAAAATACATATAAAAAAAAAGTGAAATGCTGTACCAAGATTTGGCCAGGCGCTTAAGAGGCTTAATGTCTGACAAATGACCCCAGTGCCTCAAGCAACAAGCTCCCTTATTCAATGACTAATCTATACTGTGGGTTGTACTACAATGTGTGGATGTTGGGTAAAACTGTAAAGAATGTGTTAGAAAGTAGGGAAACATGGAATGTGAGAAATAAATCTCTTGTATTCATTTTATCAGTTGTTGGTAACATTCGTGCATCAATTGGCAAGGCTAGATTGTTGATAAAGGAGAGATTTTCTCAGTTTGGCGGCCTAATTGATGACAGTGAATTTCACCGTGGTGAAAAGGAAGTTACATGTATGGACTTGCAGGGATTCTGGGATATGATTTATATGCAAGTAAGTGTTCATTTTCACATCTTAAAATTGTACAGCTTGTGAAGTAAAAATAAAGCTGTCAACTTAATTGCAGTGTACATTTGTAGTCGTTCCACATTTGGAATTTGCATATAACATTGTTATAATAGGAATCCAGCCATTTGATTGGCTGAAGCAAGGTCTTGTATCTGACACTAGAAAACCTATGATACTGTCTTGAAACTGAATAAACATATCCCCTGCCATATATTGGCTACCAAATACTGTAATATTGCTTACATAATGATATAGTAGGGTGTAGCTTTTTTGTGCAATACATTTCTAACGAATAGATACAGTGAAAAATGTACACTAATAACTTGAATATTATTCATTACACAGGTAGAGAATGTCCAAGATATGTTCAAAGATTTGGAAATTCTTCAAAATAATAATTGGAAGGAAGAAGAAAAAATAGTTGTAAAACCCAAACCAGTGAAAAAAGTTGCCAAGGTAACCAATGTTGGGATTTGTCTGGACTGATTTTTTTTTTAACCCCTGCTTTGTAGAATTTACACTTGTTTATAAACTTTGCTATGTGACTTGTATCGCACATGACATGATGCAACACCCATTGCCATTTAAGTGCTTGTATAATAATCATGATTAATCTTTTAGGGGCACTCTCATAATCAAACACTTGGCTCAAACCTGAATTAACCGACCTGCCTTCTCCAACCCTATTTGAACCTATTTGATCTACAATATGCAAATTAGTAGTAGTTCTGAGTCTCGCTGCCTGGTAAACACATTAACACCCCACCAAAAATAAACAGGGAATTCTAGGTTTAGAGTTGGGAACCCAGGTTTTTCTTACAATAGTGTAAAGTCTTTGAATAGTTAATAACAATATTGTTTTGTGACAGCATCTCAAAACTAAAGTCAGTGCTGCAATGTTGTCACCTCAATCAGAATTGTCACCCAGAACGCAACAGTCGCGATGTTACAACATGCATTGTCACAATGCATTGTCACCATGGACAGCGGACCTCTATAACATTTAAGGGACTTTCTTCATGTTTCACACTGACTAAATTAGACTCCTACAGCATATCTTGTTTTGACAAATCTACATGAAGATAACTGTCAATCCTAAAATTAAATAGAAGGTTGTGAATGAGTGGTTTGAACTGCCGTTTCTTATGCAAATCCATGTGTTAGTCCTGGTAGTTGGGTCAAACCTGGGTTGACCAAAACCGCCCTAAACCACCCAAATAATTCCAAAGTGTTTGAATACAAGTCGTCTCTTAAACACCAATGTCAATTTTTGACACATTTTGCAAAATGAACATGACAGAATTTTTTTCAACCATTTTCATCAATACAATTGCTAAATTATGTCCATTTGTTAATTATAAAATTATTGAAAAAAAAGAAGCAGCAATCAGAGATAAAGTGCCACAATGTACTTCACATTATGTATGTCAAAACAAATAATAAATAAAAATAATCCTTATCATATCTAAATTATCATTCTTACAGAAAGCCAAACCAGGGTTATCTGAGGAGACTAAGAAAAGACGTGCTGAAGCTAAAGAAGCTGCCAAAAAAAGATTAGCTGAAGCTAAAGCTAAATCTGCCATGTTAACTAAGGCCAAAAGTTCAACACCCAATACTTCTGTACCGGAAGTAGTTAAAACCTTTGAAGCTGGTTTCTTCAAGATTGCTAGTCCAGTGAAACCGCCTACCAGACGTGTTCAAGGTTGGTGTCTCTCTAAATCGCCAATTAAAGGGATTTCTACCATTCTACATGTAGCTGGTAGTGATTTGGGGCATACAGATAGATAATTTCCTGCATACTTTGAGGCATCTTCGTAATAACTTCATATTATACATCATGTGCATGTGATATTCTCAAGATCACTGACTGATGGTCATTATGGTTTTCACCAATAAATTATATATAAATTAGATATGTAATAAATCAGAGAAAATATGGTACATGTAAATCCTACTGCTAAGGTCAGGTCGTTTAGTCAAATTCTAACAAAAGCATGTTACCGGGGTATGTTCGCTAAAGTCTATGATGATAAAGTGTATTATGTTTTTTTGTCAGCTGGTACTTCTGCAAAAACTACAATGAGGTTAATTAAGAATGTGAATGCCAGTAGTCCGTGTAGTCCTGTTGTTGAATTATTAAGATGCAACCAGATGAGGAAAGCCAAGCTAAGTTCAACACCAAATAAACAAATCCAAGAAAAAGAGAATGAGGCAGGTTACTCTTTTATATGTACATTGTTTGCAGTTGAAAAATGAATTGTCCTGTTCTTCCGTCCATGTCCACTCTTCAACAATGCATGAACCAACTTGATATATTTATTTATTTACAAAGGGGCAATCAAATGCCCAGCAAACAAGTATTCAGGCATTTCTGGTCATGTCAGGCGAGAATATTTTGTGATAAATAAAAAAGGCCAACTATCTTGAATAATAAATATTTACAGTTGTTACCAAAATGAACTGATTGAGAAAACCCCATTCTCTCTAACTATTGGTTTCTCTGCAATTTTCCTGAGAAAATTACCAGCTGTGTTTGTTTTGACTTCAGCACTTTCAAGTCGATGCTCTGGGACACAACCATTTTCACAAAGCAAAATGGGATTTTGGATCCAAAGTGTAGTCAGTTTTGAGCAAAAAAATTGAAATACAAAAATAATGAATTATCAAATCTTACAATTGTTCTACATTTGAATAAAATGATCTCACAATTTAATTTAAAAATTGGGCAAACTCAACATATGCAAATGAGTGTTCTACTTGCAGGCATAACATTAGGCAGTCATAAACTGTAATACAAAGCTAATGAGTCACAAATTGTTGGTCACGTACATGGGCACAATTTATTCTCAATTATAACTTGTTTTGAGGTATCAAGGGAGTACATGAAAATATGTACCGTATAAAAACGACATAAAAAGTCCCACTTACACCTTTTGGGACACCATGGCAGTAGACGTCTACAAATTGGAATTACCATGATCTACATTGATTTAAAGGAAATGTTATGTTTTAGCTTGATTACTACCATAGTAGTTGATAAACATTACTGCCTGATGTAGAGCAATGTTTGCAAAACGACGATGTAAATTGCAACATTGTACAGCTTGCGAAGATAATGAAATTAATTCCTGTGAAAATAAATGGTTTTACAGTAACTGTAATTCATATTAGTACAATTATTCTTAATTAGGACTTTGCTAAATACTTGGTGCCTACTATGTCAGAAGAGTCGTCTGGCAACGAGCCTAGTATCATTGATCTGAATGAACAAGCTGAAATCTCCATGGTAACCGAATCAACTCAGCAACTGGAAGACCTGAAAATAAGAAGTCCACGCAAATCACAGAAACGTACCCCAGGTATTTTATAAAATTGTGATAACAATTTGTCTGAAAGTTTATTTTGAAGGATAAAATGGGAAAGATTATCAGTTTGTGTGTTGGTAACATGCGCGTGTTCACTTTGGAATCATAATTTATGACTAATATAGGTGTGGTTACAATTTCTTCTTTTTGGACATGTATTACTTACTCAGAGCTGGTTGATACCTTGCTCTAAGAACAAGTGATATCAGTTGTTAGCCTTAGAATATTGATACTATGGCGCACTGGCCGTAATTTTTTACAGGAAAGTTTTTTACAAAAATTGGATTGGTGTGTTTAGTTTCTAGACATTTCATGGATCGCAATAACACAAGCAATGATTCCATCTCAACTGGTTTTCCAGGGCCATGCCTTGGTCTTAATACACCTGTGCAGGTAAGATAGGATTGGATTTATTCTGAAAGTTGGAAATTATACATTTGCATCTGTAACCTAAACTGAGGACAGTTTACAGCTTCTGTGTTCGTTTTATCTTTGACATCATTATTCACTCCTGATTAAACGCAGTCTGGGTGCTTTATTGGACATTTTTTTTGGATAAACATTTGCAAAGTGACAGCCATATTTGACCCAAACATGGCCCATAAAAGTCTACATTTTATATTTTGTTAAAACTTAGAATATTGTTATCGCATTTAAGGCATTTTTATTTTCCTTTTTTTTAGCTCCGCTGGGTCATCGCAGATGACCCAGCGGAGCTGTTGGTATGGGGTCTCTCCAGTGTTGTCCGTCCTGCGTGACCCATTACATTCATATTTGTACCAAAGGTACTTGGGGTGGTCCTCTGTCAGATTTGTTAAATTCGTGTCAAAATATGGAAATTTGGATTTTTAGTGAATATTTTTGTCGATTTTAGTAAAAAATGTTATTTTCGACAACTAGTCCGAAACCGTCAACCACAATGCCACTTTACTGATTCTTGTTCCATCATAATGAAGACAGCAGAGCTATTTAAGGTCAGGTCGCTTGTTTTTATAAAATGTGAATTTATTTCACCAAATACCAGATTGTATAACTGCTGTTAGATTTTTTTTTTTTTTTTTTTTTTCAAGATCACTATATCAATACATGATTTTCTATGAGAGTCAATGCAGTGTCATATCGAGGGGAGGGCTGTATTTGGCTTTGTTGTATCTTTTTCTTGTCAGAATTTAGTAATAAAAATGTGAAATAAGATTTACGAAATACATGTCTTATTAGATTTTATTTGTTATGCTCTACATTGATTTCTATGTAAACAAAGGTATTTGAATGCACAGGTTTTTAAATGGCTCGATCTATAATAAAACTTGCGCTATGAAATCCCTCCCCCCATTGCCTTTACAGGTCCTTCCAATGTAATCATTTTACTCTCCACCCTTACAGAATGGTCAAATGATGAATGACAACTATCTATTTACACCAATGGAGAGTACCACTAATGCCCGTGCCTCAATTGATCTAATAAAATTTGATTCATCAGGTATGTAGTTTTGAAATTAATTCAACTATTCTCAGTACTGTCACTAGTTTGAAAATGTGTGCTCGTATTTGTTGGCAGTTTTGCGCTTACATAAATGAGGTGTAAACTTAGACAAAGTAATATCAGATATGGGAACCACTTGGGTTAAATTTCCCGTCTACTGCCTGCAGACGATTCTGCTTGTTTCTTTAAATATCAAGATAGTAAACTGAGAAAAAAAAATTGTTAGTTTATTTAAATCAAAGTAATAAAAAATAATAAGTTTATAATACCCAAATGGGAAGATAATTATCTTGCAAAATGTGACAGGCTGGCATTGAAAGGTTTAAAATGAAAAACGCTACAATATCCCACATTTGAGTCAGGTTTTCTTTTCTCTTCATGCATAATTTTGTTACTATTGTGTAGAAAATGAACCTATTTAAATGTAAAAAAAATGAGGTGTAATTTGAATTTGGGCGTATTTGTTTAAAAAAAAATATTGGAAATATACATATACGACAGAAAGTCATGAGTGACCAACCTTTTTATCAGCAGTTTGCACTGACCAGAAACTAATCCTAAATAGAGCAAATATTAGTACATAGAACTGAAAGTTTTAGCAAATATTAGTACATAGAACTGAAAGTTTTAGCAAATATTAGTACATAGAACTGAAAGTTTTAGCAAATATTAGTACATAGAACTGAAAGTTTTAGCAAATATTAGTACATAGAACTGAAAGTTTTTCCTTGATTAGCAGTCACATGTAACAAATTGCAGGAAATTGCAGTTTCAAAAGTTTCATTCTTGATCAACAATGTCAGCGAAAGTTAAATAGTTATGTCTGTCATACTGATTGTTTGTCTTTTTCCTCATTAGGATTGTATTAAATACAAGTGTATCCTTAACAACGCTAATAAGGAATTATAATTTGTTTTTTAAATAGATGCCGTTTCTGATACGAGTACATTTTCACCATTGGAACCGCAAAGACAACGCCGCAGGTCTGCAAGAATCCACAGTGCAAACCCAAATCCTGCAATCTTTTCTCCATTATAAATGTATATATTTCTCCTCTGACAATTTTTTACTGTCCTCTTTCTGTCGTGACACATTCAAATTTTGTGTACAATAGTGTATTTTACGTAGTATTGTATATAAATCATGTATTATTTTTGAAATAAAGTTAATTATTTTACAATGACATTGGTCAACCACAGTATGAATTTTACAAATGTGATGAACATGCCGATTAGCTTTAGCCTGGAATATTCAAAACCATAATTTTGTAGCCTGGCTGTACACTACAAAACCATGCGCAATGGGAGTCTTTGCAGTTTGTCTGTTTATTCCACTGATATCTGAAGAACCAAATGTTGGTTTTTAGCTCCGCTGTCAACTTTGTCGAGCGGAGCTTAGCATGAGTGATTGTCCGCGTCAACTTTTGCATTTTGTGTGGAATTTATTTTCACTGATTTTTGATGAGTTTAATGTGAAATATAGGAAAAAAAGTATATTCGCTAGATTTTATTTTCATGAAATCATTCCTTCAGCGAAAATAAATTCCAAGTGAAAATAAAGTACTCTACAGTATGTAGCTTGGGTAGACTTCTTAGGTTTGTTCATTTCATGATATCTTCAATTCTCTAATTCTGGTGAATATTTTCAGTAAAAAGTGATATTTTTGACTTTTTGTTAAAAACCGCAAGTCTGATTGTATGATAATATACATATAGGTACCTCAGGTAAAGCTCTCAGATTAGTTCATTTCCTGACAATATCTTCAATTATCTAATTTTAATGATTATTTTTTGTAAAATATTTTAGAATTCTTGTTGAAAACAAGTCCGATTGCTGTGACACTATACATATTGCTCATCTTCAGTTCTTTAAATTGAAATGTGTATTACTAACAGCGGAGCTATCTCAGCAGACAGACTACTTGTTGACGAAACGTGATGCATAGATGATCTGGGCTGATACGCAGACGTGATTGTTGATGTGAATTACCTACATGTAGCTTACAAGATAATTAGCTAATTTTTAGCTGTTCCATGACTGTTTTACTGAACCATTCATTAGATTTTGATGATGCTCTGGGACAATGTGCAAACCTGGTTACCGATAGTTTTGCAAGAAATGCATGCATATTAATTCTAGGTTTTGGGTAAATATCTGTGCATATTAATTACTTAATTTGCATAATTAGTAAATTGTTGGCTTGTTAGATGCTCATGTTTCAAGTACTTGCAATGTGGATGCTGTAGGCCTATGCACAGACTTAGTTCTTACCATGAAAACATGATCATGTGCCACTTTGATTTCATCAATAGTGAATACAAGTTTATACCGTAGTTTGAATTCTGCCACAGTATGGCGAGGTAATGCGAGAATAAGTGGAGATGAGAAATTGTGTAGTCTCAATGTCCATTTTCCACTTTTTGAGAATATCCGTTTCCTGGCATCAGATTGTGAATTGGTTTTATTCATGACTGATTCATTGGTGTAACCCAATTCAAAGGTTTAGGAGCTGTAAAATCTCATCTGAAGTAACAATATATGAAATTAAAATTTATTACAGCAACAGTGAACTCTATTTTATCATGTTGATATTCTACAGAACAAACAAGATTTTTATTTCTAGTAAACAAAGTTGATTCAATACACCACGGTAACCCCATATACTAGGGGACAAAGTGAAATAAACTTTATATTGGGCTTTCTCAAATAGCTTAGTTGAATTTATTTGTCGAATCAAATGGTTATCTAATGACGTATATTACAGCAGTAAACAAATCTATATTTTGTTTTTGGAGAAAAGTTTTTAAAATAGTAAAATTGTTTGAAACTCGTTTGTCTAAATCTGAGTAGCCTATTAAATGCCCTCCATTAATCTGAACAATATTGTTACAGTATTCATTAGCCAATGTAACTGAAATCTTTATGATCAATACATTTCATTAGCCACAACACTTAAAATCTGAAATTATAATATCCACTATAAAGCAGGATACATATAAGAGGTTATCTCAAAGTATGCACAAAGACAGCGCAGCAGAGGTCAATGTCAATGTGAAAGCGTACAGTCTTCATGCAAACTTTGTGGTATCCTCTTATTATACATCTTTTCCTTCCAAGGATACATCATGGACATGCCGAAATCGAAAATATTTAGAACAGAATCGGCAAACTTTTGTGTGGAGTTTGATCAAACCCTAGTGGGGGCCACTATGCGTGTATTCATTCCATATTTGGAATTTGCATTTCCTAATATGATAGGATGAAAATGCCCCGTAAAATTACGACACGCTGTAACATGTGGCTAACACTAGGAGCATGCCAGAACCCAGTGCTAACTGATTGAGTAATGTCATTTTGCTGGCTAAAACAAGTTAGTGCCATTGTTTTTCTCTGACATTATCTCCTTCAGTGTTTTAACCTCTGACACTTGCATGTATCATATTACAGTGTACTATGCACTGTATAAGGACCACATCAACAATTTCACCAATGTGGTGTGACAACTGTCGCACTTTAAGCCAAAATAATGGTAGTGATATTTCTTTCAAAACCATTTTATACAACTTTTACTGAAAATGAAAGTACAGCAATTTATGTATGGCATATTCTGCAATATTGGAGGTTAGGAATGTAATGCATTTTGAATACATTTTAAGAAATGATATACTGAAAATGATGTAAATAGTTTTCTCCATGGGGCAAGTGGATGTGATCCCAATTGAACAAACTCTGGGAGACAGCTGCTTCCATCCAAAGAAAATCATATATACAAAACACTTTAAATTATTTACCTAGATAGTTAAATGCCCTAAATTAAAATTAACATTTTGTATTAAATTTGGCATGCGTTCTCTTCAAGTTAACAATACGTCGCAGAAGTTGTAATGAAATACGAATAAGAGAAATAAAGTGTTTGAAATAAGTTATACTTAAAAACGCATCAAAAATGTACTGTATTAGCTCTATTATCATGTACACCAAAAATTGTACAAGTTGTATATTTTGAATCGTTAAAATATAACTTGCTATAAAACATGTTATTTTAGCTAATCTGTAATTTCACCAATTCAAAAAGTATATTCTCAAGCCAAATTTGCTAAACTGGCAAAGAGCTATATTTAAAGTGTTTTACAGTATTTTCCCCCACAGAAATTTACACAAGTGCAAATACAGTACAGGTAATTAAAGTCAAATACATGTACAATGCTATTGTCTAAATTGTTCAATGAATGAGTACAATAAGTAGAAATAAATGGTGTTATCTGTGCACACTCCCTGTGGTGGAAATGACATAAGATAATAGCATAGTAAATACAGGAAATGCTGTTAATTTAGCCATGCACACTCCTCCCTGTGGCGGAAATGACATAAGATAATAGCATAGTAAATACAGGAAATGCTGTTAATTTAGCCATGCACACTCCTCCCTGTGGTGGTAATGACATAGCATAAAAAATAGTAAATACAGGAAATGCTGTTAATTTAGCCATGCACACTCCCTGTGGTGGAAATGACATAACATAAAACATAGCAAATACAGGAAATGCACACTCCTCCCTGTGGTGCAAATGACATAGCATAAAACATAGTTAATACTGGAAATGCTGTTAATTTAGCCGTGCAAATGACATAGCATAAAACATACTGTGGAATACTTTATTTTCACTGGAATTAATTTTTACTGAAAAGGCTTTTTGGGCGTTTTGCTTGGAATTTATTTTCACTGATTTTCTGATGAGTTTAATGTGAACTATAGGAAAAAAAGTATATTCGCTGGATTTTATTTTCACGGAATCATCCCTTCAGCGAAAATAAATTATTCTACAGTAGTAAATACAGGAAATGCTATTAATTTAGCCATGCACACTCCCTGTCGTGGAAATGACATAGCATAAAACAGCAAATACTACTGTAAAATCTGTATCAAAAGCCACGGCTTCTATTAAAATGGTACAATGCAACAGCGGGGATGCGGCTTCTATTAGAGCATCTACACATATGAGAAATGGTGAATTTTTGGGTCTCAAATGTTCATAAAGAATGGGTTCGGCTTCTATTAGGGATGTGGCTTCTAATACAGATTTTACGGTACTGTAGTACAGGAAATGCACACTCATGTTTGAAACAGAACATACTAGTAAAACAGAAAACGTGTTAATAAAGCAAAATATAACAATTTGTCAATGGGCACAAACAAGATTTGTACAGGAAGTTAGCAAACTTCCTAGAAAAGCTTCTCTGAACATTGCAATATAGCGAGGGACATTCTTATTGGTGCTATTAAATGATCGGTTTATGAAAACAATCTGTATATTTTGTGAAAAACTGGTGCAATAAAATATTAAGTCCACCAACAGATGGGTGTCATTTTGCTTTATCAGGGATACTGCATCATTGTTGTGAGTATACAAGGCCAGACTTTTATTATCCGTTGTTTCGCAAACCCGCCGAATGAACAGGAGCCGAAAATGAAATAAAAATAAAATTTTATTTCAGCGTAATTTCTCGTGCCTGCCGACTTGCTAAAAAAATATTATTTCCATCTTCATTTTTTTATCGCTCACCGCATAACAAATCAAAAGTTGCATTTTCACGGGAGTATCATGATCAAAATACCGAAGTTTTGCGCAGATGAGAAACAAGGTTATACATGGAATAAAATTTTATTTCATTTCTTCTCTCCGATCAATGATCTCACTTACATTTCCTCGAGAATCACACAAATCTAATGGGAAAAAAGAATTTATTTTATTTTTTTCCCCGCCTTCAAAAAAATTGCCTTATAAAAACTCAAGAAACAAGGAATAAAAACAGTCTGGCCTAAATAATATGCAGGAATCCTATTTGGTGTTACTTCAACTGTCTGGGAAAGTTGATGGGGTTATTGGATCATTGACAGTGACTTTCCTAGAGAGGTGGCAAGTTTTCCCGATACAAATCTTGTTTGCAACCGCACTTGTAACTCATCAAAATTGATATTTATTTTGTCTATGAACTAAACCAGACTCGATTTGTGAATTACTGTCATAATTCTGTCAGTGAAGTATCGCATAATCTTTATTTGGATACTGCTAAGTAGGTGATTACATACTTTATGGACCAACTTTGAACAAGAATGTGTTTTAACCAGAGAAATATGAGATAAATTACATTGTCAAAGTGTATTGCTTGCTGTTGTATTCACTCTTTTCCTATTCGGGATAGAGAGTTGCGAGAAGAAAACCATTACTGACAATGGTGCTACATTAGTATTGATGGCTAGCCTTAATGTATTGTATGATTGTCCCAGGCATAGTAACAATAACATACACATGTTTTTCGACCTGTGACTGTCATAGCACTAGAACATTAATTAATCCACGCATACAGTGAATGAAAAAAGCCTGTTAAAAAAGTTACTATAATACAGTGGGAGTTTGGTATACTTAAAACAACACTGTTTTGTTTTTTGCTCTGATGTATCTCAATTCACCATTCCTGTAAGTGGCACTCTCTAGTGTTTCTTTGTCGTAAAATAATGTATATGGTTGGAAGCAATGTTGTTCTATATCTAAAATAAAGTCAAGTCACTCAAAAACATAATCTTCATTGATAGACATTCATAGACCAAAACAACATTGATGCTTTGAACAGCCATCATGTCATCCATTTACGCTATAGAAGAAATTTATCACTCAAGCAACTTTTAGAAATGAGCTTAGTCTTTTCCACGAAACAAAACCCTAACCCGCATTTTTTTTCATTGGCCTAATAATATCCGAGAAAATTTCACAGTGAAACAGAAAATGAATAGCGCCATCAGTGTTCAACAATTCCAAAATGGCTGTCGCGTCATGTTTGCACAAATGAATCGAGCTGCAAAGTAGGCGGGAAAAGAGGTGGAAACTAAATATTCTTGACAAATTTATATCTGTGACGTGGTGATGTTTGAAGTCGTTCAAAATTTTGGTATAAATTCATTTTTTTTTTTCACATTTCATTTTGTGGAAAAGACTAAGCTTTAAAAATGGTGTATCAAAAATGTGCTTCCAACACTATACAATACGGTAATGGTTTTGTGACTGGTATTTTATTGTCATATCATGAAAAAATTATTGGCCTGTGAGCAGCCATACCCAACATATACACAGATTATAAAAGACTGCCGTAAAATCTGTATTAGTAGCCGCATCCTAAATAGAAGTTGCTCCATTCTTTTGAATAATTGAGAACCAAAAATTCATCATTTCTCATATCTGTAGGTGCTCTAATAGAAGTCGCATCCCTGCTGTTGCATTGTACCATTTTAATACTAGTAGTAGAAGTTGTGGTTTATAATACAGATTTTACAGAAGTATTTAAATAAAGTTTAGCTAACTGATAACTGATAATATTGTTGAGTGCGAGATATTGTTTGGTTGTTTGGCATCACTACACATCAGTTAGGGTACTGATAATAGTGTCCAGTGGGATACGGAAGTGAAATGTTTGGTTGTTCGTTATCATGACCACTATACAGGTCTTGTGTTGGTTGATAGATGTTGGCAAGCATATTAGAAACATTTACTGGTTCATTACGAGTCATGGTCAAATGTTCGGTTTCTGTGTCCCTTCGTATGCTTGGATACCCCATCGATGTAGAAGCTATGTCTTGTATATTATCGCTAGTTGAGGCATAGGTTTCTATCATACTGGGCTCCATATGAACAGTTGTACTCGCAGGAGGAGGTTTAGATGAAGTTCTTTTGGACCTTTTTGACATTCTTAGAGTTTGGTCATGAGATTTCTGATGCTCTATCAGGTTACCTTTACGATGGTACGTCTTGCCACAGATATCACAGGCGAAGGATGCATTAGAACGATGTTTACCAAGATGACCACAGAGAGAATACTTAGATGAAAACTTCAAACCGCAGTCGCTGCATTGAAATTCAGTCATTTTACTGGTGTGATTACGTTTGTGGTGTATGCGCAATTCAAATGGAGATGCAAACGTCTTACCACAAAGTTCACAAAGATGTGGTTTCTCACCTGTATGTACACGCATGTGCATCACAAGAATACTGGATTGTCCAAAACATTTACCGCAATGTTTACATTCATATGGTTTTATACCTAAATGTATAAGTTGATGGGTCTGTAACGATGACTTGGACGTGAACAATCTACCACACATCTCGCACTGATAAGCGTCTTTATTCCAATGTTCGAATTTATGTTGATTCTTGGAATATGGGTCGGTGAAAACTTTATCACATTTATTACACTTATAAAAACATTTATGTTTACCAAGGTTCTCCCTTTGTTTAAAATATCGTTTACAAGTGGAACACTGATACGGCTTGGCACCTGTATGAACTACTTGGTGTTTCGTTAAATAATCTTGTCGGCTGAAACGAAGTAAACATCGATCACATTGGTATGGTTTTTCTTTTTCAGTCACAGTAGATGGGCCAGCTGTTTCGTTGCCATCAAAGTTCTTTACATGTAGAGAATGTGACGGATTTCTTTTACCTTGTTCAAGTATCAAATTATCTAATCCGTGTGTTGTTTTTATATGTTCAATTAGCTTGTCTTTCTTTGTGTATGAAGCATCACAGCGGTTACAGTTGAAATTATGGAGTTGATGTCTAATTTCGTGGCTTTTCAACCCCCTTTGTGTTTCAAAGCTTTTTGAACATGTCCCACATTTATGAATCTTTTCAAGCTCTTTACTTGGAGCAGATTTGATTTGTAGTTGGAGTTCTGCCAGTTGCTGTGAACCTTTGTCTTTCACTTCACTTGCTGTAGAAGAGCTTTGGCTATGATCAGACTGTTTAACAGACAATCTATGACATTCCACATGCACTGCCAAAGCCTGGCGCTCTGCAAAACTTTTATCACAAACATCACACTTGAACGATTTTAAATCATCATGTGTTAGACGATGCATTTTCAACTTGAAGTAAGAATCAAACGTTGCATCACAACTCTCACATACACATTCCATCTTCTTCTGGTTTTCTCGTTCAGAAGAGGTCATTGTCGATGGATTACGAATGTCAATATTATGTATCAACTGTGCGTGAGTTACTAAAGATTCTCGCCGACTAAAAGTTTCTTCACAGAAGTCGCATGCATGAGGATTTATTTTCCCATGATCAATGACAAAATGTTGCTTCAATTTGTACCGATATGGATACGTCTTAGAACACTTAGGACACTGGTAAACTTGTCTTACTTGATCTCCATCTGATTCAGAGATGACTTTGATTGTTGTGTCTAGCCCCATGGATTTCATTTCTCTGAAAACTTGTTCCACAACACTCACACTGTCAATCTCTTTCTCTTGATGATGTCCACCTTTGAGATGATGCACCAAGTTTATCCTTTTATGGAATGGTTTATCACAAACATGACAAATGAAACTCCATTTATGTTTATTATGTTCTACTTTGTGTCTTTTCAGATCTCTCATTGAAGCACACTTTTTAGAACACTTTGAACAAGAATACTTCTTTTTTATTTTTCCTGACATGACTGCATTTTTTTTCTCTTCCTCGTAATTCCTCCATATTGAATTCCGCACATCCTTGTTATGAATCGACCTCATATGCGAGACAAAACTTTCACGTCTAGCGAATGTTTCACTGCACATCTCACATTGGTATCGCTTAATTTTCAAATGTATGATAATGATATGTTCTTTGACACCTCGCTTGCGCCTGAATAGCTTATGACAGTAGTTGCATACGTAGCCTTCGTCAGTTTTGATAATTGTATCATCGATGTTTTCCAGAGTGATACTTTTAAGGAAGGCAGATGACTCTTCTTGATTATCAACCACATTCTTCTCTGCTGAATCTAAACTGACAGCTTCCACATCTGGATTACCAATATTATCATTACTTGTCTTCACTGCTGTTTCTTTCTCCTCATCATTAGATATGACCGTCTTCACAACATTATGCCCAATCATGTGTAAATCCAAGTTCTTCTTTGTATAGAATGGTTTATCACAAACTTTACACTTGAATTTCCACTTGTATGAATTATGAACACGAGAACGATGTTTTTTCAATGCTTTCAGGGAACAGAAACGATCCCAACATTGATCACATTGATGCTTGCTTTGTTTACTAGAATGCAATGCCTCTTTCCTTTCCATCTCAGCTTTTTTCCACATAGGCGCCCGCGTGTCTGTACCATGTATGGTAACCATGTGGGATTGTAAACCATCTCGTCTAAAGAATGACTCGTTACAGAGTTTGCAACAGAATCGTTTGATATTTAAATGTCTAATTATAATATGTTCTCTGACACTGGGTCTAGCAACAAATTTTTTTTCACAATAGTTGCATTTATAAAATTTTCCATCTTTGGCTAGCTGTATCTGAATATCATTGATATCACATTGACTTGGCACTAACTGTGAATCTGGATCAGAGTCCGGTACCCATTCCTCATCTTTATCAGAGACTGACTCTGGATCAGATTCTTCTACCATGTCATAAATCACTTTTTTAGGGTTTGAATTTTTTCTTCTTTTTACTGCAACTGCAATCGGAAGATCTTGATCTTCAGTACTGTCAACTGAAGTTTTTTGTTGACATTCCGCATGTTCGTTCATTGCTTGGCTGTTGATAGACTCATCCACATGTCTGGGCAGTGCTTGATTTTTAGCGTCTTTTTCATGCTGTGGGCTGTGGCTCCCAAGAACTTCAATCTCACCTGGATCATAATGTTGTTGAGAACAAAAACCATCTCCTGATGCTATATCATATCCATTATCATTATCACTATCATCAGTATTATCACCATCATTCTTTTCATTCCTCAACAGAATATTATTATTATCACAATTACCTGTTGACTCTTGACTTGAATTATTCTCTTCATCACTTACAATAATGTCACTATGGTTACCCTTTAAATGACAATCTAGATCATCTTTTCTCTTAAAATATCCATTTTCACAGATATGACATTTGTATTGCCAATTTAGGCCATGTTTCTCTACTCGATGTTTTGTAAATTCAGCATGTGAGAACATACGTACATGACATGAATTACATTTGTAGACAGATGGACGTTTTGATTTAGGTCGTGGGTCTACATCATGAATAGATATCATATGTGATATCACACTATCTGGTCTTTTAAAACACCGCTGACATAATACACATTGGTATGGACTTTCACCAGTGTGGATTACTTGATGTTTTTTCAAACCTTGTTTAGTACTGAAAGTTCTGTTACATATTTTACAAATTGGGAGGCGGTTTCCAATGGCAACTTCTTCTTCTGGTAAAGCTTCTAAATCTTCTTCCTCACATCCTTCATCATCGTCTTCATGATTATCATCATCATCACCCTGTTGAAAAAATAATAAGTTTGAAAATGATCAATACTCTTTGATGTTTACTGAACAAATAATATACAACCTTTCTGTTTATAGACTGATCCAAAGTGATTTCAGTAGTTAATCAATATGCAAATTATAAGCCAATTACCAAGTGTAGTTTAATTTCATATTGTTAGACATTCAACTACACAAACAGCATACATGTATGCAGAGGAGGAATTGCACGTGAGGGCGCCCTTCTTTCAACGGAGTGTATTTTGTCTCATTACCGATTACGTCGTGTTGGGAGTAACATTCGGTCCACAGCTAGTGAATTGTTTGAACACGTACATTTGTCCCATATCCGGTATGTGCAGCTTTACTGGCGTTTTCTACAGAGGTTTTATTTAAATCATCGAGGACGTCTTGATGCTAAAATTCACTACTAAACTACACTAAGTTAATAAATATATTCGCATGTCAAAATTCTTGACAGAAAAATAATATCGTCAATATTCAAGAAGGAATAGGGATTTCTGTGAAGAGAGCACCAGCGTATCCAACAACCATGTTTACATCGCCATCTTTGAAGTGACCTGACTCGTAAGTCACACAACACCTAATTGTGAAAAATCATGGTAAATGAACATTAATAAAGACAGTTTGCACGCTTAGAAACAGCTTAAAACGGGAGGCACAATTTGGCGCAATCACACTGTATTAATTAAGCAGTATTTATCTACATTCTGTGTGATTTTCAGAGTGTTTGGTGTCTTGTGTAATATGAAAACAATATATTGATTTCCGTATACGCCGAAAACATCGATCAAAACTGTAGCTCAAAAATGCTATTTACAACTATTTTTAACAACATTTTTTATTTGTCTTAAAATCGACAAACTTTTTTTGGGGTAATGAATTATTCGTACATTTAAATCAGGACATAACGCAACCAATCACGTCATGCAACTCACTGCCTGCATGTATGTAGAATTTTTAATCTATTCAAGGCAATGTCCAAGTCATTCACTACTTAACCTTCAGTCTGTGCACAACCCCCCCCCCAAAAAAAAACATGCTCATCAACTGACTTTCTATTGAAGAACACAAAATTTCATACACATACATGTACGGGCAAGGTGATAGTTTTATGCATATGGGCCAGGCGAAAATATAATATAAAACAGCAAGCTACTCTAAGAACCGAGTAAAATAAGAATTCCTTTGTGTTTCAGCCTGTCAGGGTGTTAGCCAGCCACCAGTCCAGCCCACCAAGCAGACTGGCAACTTTGATTTTGGACTGGCAACTTTTTCCCATTTTTTTCTATTGTTCTTTGATAATTTTACCAAAATATATTGTAAACCATTGACATGTTCATGTAGTTGAATTGTTTTGGACTAGCAGTTGCAAATTCCTGTATAATAGCCTGCTGCCTGTCCTCGGTCATGGCGTCAAGCTCAAACATAAACATAATTCTCATTTCAATAGTGATTGAAAACTAAACTTCAGTCTAAACTTCACTAAACATTGAAATACTTAATTAGAATTGTGAATGAATATACATTGTATGTACTTTGTATTTTATATTTTGCTAGTTTCTTTATTATGAATACTATAATGCGAATATTTTTTAACATACATGTAGTATATATGTGAAGACATTCCCCCACTACTTCATGTACAAAGTTCAAAACCTTGAAGTAGACCCAACACTTATTAATAACTTTCTTTGTGGAGGAATTAATTTTAAGTTTAATGTACTTTTTAGCGACATATTGTGGAAAGTCAACAATAATTTGGGGAATATTGTATCCAAGGAAGTTAGAGTATTTATTACTCAATTGTATAAGTATAGAAAAGAAAGTTTGAATTTAATGTGATTTTTCTTCTTTCCTTTTTCAAATATGTATGATTTGGTTGTTTTCTTCTCTTTGTTTGCCGCTCCAAAGGCTAATAAAATATTATTATTATTATTACTACTGCACGTGTACAAAACAGTGTTGGTTGGTTCATCAAGTTATTTTGGGGGATTGTGTTTAGCATGGAGGTCCATGTGTGTAGCTAGCTGACCTGGCAGTGAATGACTATGGTATTATAATGCATATTAATAGTGTTCACGCTACATGAAATACAGGCTAATCTCATGTGTTTGCATATTGGATAGACCCAAATACGTTTACACACGAGAGGAAACGGTGGTTAGCACGGCCACAGTCAGGTACAATTTGGACTAACCAGTCCAATAAAAAGGCATATAATAAGCACAAATACCATGACTATGAATATAATAAAGGTGATTATATTATATTCTGACAGTTAGCAAAACCATGCTAAATTATAAGTGTACAGATTAGTGAATACTGTGGAATACTTTATTTTCACTGGAATTAATTTTCGCTGAAAAGGCTTTTTGGGCGTTTTGTATGGAATTTATTTTCACTGATTTTTGATTAGTTTAATGTGAAATATAGAAAAAAAAAAGTATATTCGCTGGATTTTATTTTCACGGAATCATCCTTTCAGCGAAAATAGCGAAAATAATTTTAAGCAAAAATAAAGTATTCCACAGTAGGTTGTCCCTTTAAACTTCCCCCCTTACATATAGGTTTTGTATTAGCAATCAAAAACATGCCTACCCTTTCTATTAACCAACTTTTCGCCAAATGAACATGCATGAGTTTGTCCATATTTTTTTTTTAATTTTGATCAAAGCCTATAATCAATGGAAAATTATGTCTATTTGGTTCAAATTTTGGCAGGAAAGATTATAGTGTTTAAGGGACTGAATTTACTGTACACAGCTTTTAATTTTGAGGGTCATGAAAAATCATAAAATATTTTAGAGTGATCTTTGTGAAATTTTATTATATTAATCTACTTTTATTGTTTTCAAAGCATTGTGAACATTTTTCATTGAAAAAATATAAACTTTTTATAAACTGCAAATGTTTATAATGACAATTGGTTTGTGTAGACATACATGTAGTATTATCTCATTTTCTTGTTGAAAGTATTGTTCAAAAATATTGGCGGCACAGAAAAAAACAACATTACCATCAATTCATTGCTTTCCTCTTCAGTATTAATAAAAATAATCTTCATCTCTTGGTTACTAAGGACCATCTCAGTACCTCCCCCATTGTTAGGTGTATCATCACTCATCATAGGCATTCTCTTTAATTCTAAACTATTTATCAAATCACCCATACCCATCTCCTGCAAGGTCGCCTTGAGTTTCTCTTCCAGTAATTGATGTTCCCCTGGGTTATGTTCAAGCCATACCTGTATGGCACTGTTGAATTCCTGTCGATGTTCTTCAATAAGTTCTTTATTGCAAATATATTCAAGAAATTCTTCCACAGACAGCTTCAGAAACTGTTCATCAGCGCACACAGGTGGAAAATTGTCCTGTGAGAAATTGTTGACAATGTCTAAAAGTTCCTTGCTGGCGACATTATTCGCAATTTTGGCGATGGAGAAACACGTTTGCACTGTGAGGCGTTCCTGAACAAATGTGATGCATAATTTAGTTAAACTTGGTACATCTAAAAGTTGAGCTACCATCAGAAGTTCTTGGACCGTTTCCATGGTGATATCAACCTCACCAGAGTATGCAAATTCTACAACAACGCTGAGTATATTACTGGGCACGTTTTTCAGTTCTAATATTGGTAACTTCCGGTTTGGTTCTTTTGATAAAAGCATTTGGTGCACGACTCGGCAGCAAGACGACAGCACAACTCTGTGAGCCATAAACTCGTCTTTCTCGTCAGAAAGAAGTTTAACATCGCAAAATTCCTTCCGTTTTCTCATTTCGTTGATTGCACGTAGAAAGTTGTTTGCAGGTAGAATAGCCATGTTCAGAATCACAATGTTGTCCTTTGTTACAAACTGTATGCAGATTTATATGCAAATATTTTGCCTCTCCGACTCGAGTACTCGGACGACTTTAATCCGGTTTTTCGTTTTGCAGTCTGTCAGTGCGATGGAGGGAATATCATCTTGCCTCAGATCCGAAATTTAAGATACAAACTAAATGCACGTCGGATAACCAGAACTTCGCTGATATAGCATGGGTTTATACGGTTGAAATCGGGGCAAACGTTCGCACTTAAATTTTAACCAAACCTGACCCAAAATCCGCCATCTTGTGCGTGTGTGTATGTGACGTAGTCGTATCCCCACAGCAAGAAGTAAGAGGGCGCACTTCCTATAACTTTTTTGAATGGCTTGTGTGGGTTGACATGACCTGGTGAGAAAAACAACTTCTCTCTAACCAATTACATTCAGTGTAACTTGTTATATTGAATGTCAAGATGAGGAAAAGGAATAATTAACGCGAATTCATATTTTAGTAGTCAGACGCTTAAGGAGATTTGCAAAATGTGAACAAGTTTAGGACTTGGAATGTTCACTGAAAAAAATAAACGCCAAAATGAACTGATCATTAAAACCAATCCCTCCCAAACATCTCAATTGAGAACAACTGGGAAATGTTTAAGCGTAGTATGAAAAAATGCAAGGATAACTTCATACTTAAGTCTTACCCAGAATCTAAGTTAATGTTGCATCGAAAAAAATTATAGCTAGCCCTCTAGTGGCGACACATTTCTGTGACGTACGTGTTTTGATCTGTGGTCGCCCGTTAATAATATACAGTAGTCATTGACAAACCACTAAACCATCGTTTTGGACGTCTTGCTTTCACCAACTAAGTCATTGTGACGTCACACTAAGGCTTGGTCGCTAACGAGATTCGTACGGGTAACTTGCAACTTCGCTGGGAATGTCCTTATCAATGTTCTAATAACCCTATCAACTTCCCCAAGACGTTTGAAGTGACAGTAAATACCGGTAAGATTCGTACAATATTGCAAAATGAAAAGAGACAACATTTTAGCCCCTGTGGTACGTACCTAGACAAAATAGATTAGTCCAAAATCAAATGGGGAGGGGGTGAGATCGTCACAGAATGTAGCAACATCGTTTTCGCAACGTTAGATAATTTGATGGCACCAAAGTCCCTCGCTAGTTAATGTACATACGAATTTTGTTTGCGCCCGCTGTTATGCTGGTTATGGGGCAGGTTGTTACTAATAATAAGGAGTACCTAGTGCGGACCGCAGTATGAGAAAAGTGGGACAGAGTGGACTTGAAATGCGGTGAATATTAGAATTTTATATTGATGTACAATTACCCCCAACTATGAACGTACTAAAATTATTGCACAATGATGGTGGGCTTAGTCTTTTCCACGAAACGGAACGAAACCCTAACCCGCATTTTTTTTCATTGGCCTAATAATATCTGAGAAAATTTCACACTGTGAAACACGAAATGAATAGCGCCGCGGCCATCAGTGTTCAACAATTCCAAAATGGTCATGTCAGCACAAATGAATCGAGCTGCAAAGTAGGCGAAACAGATTTGGAAACTAAATACATGTATTCTCGACAAATGTATTTCTGTGACGTGGCGATGTTTGAAGTCGTTCAAAATTTTGGTTTAATTTCATTTCGGTTTTTTTCACGTTTCGTTTCGTTTCGTGGAAAAGACTGAGCCGCGATGGTGACTTTTATTTTATACTCTCCCTTGTGATCACTCCGTACTTGTCGGAGATTCATAATATATATTTGTATTCGTTTTCATATTGCTAATATTATTATTACATGTCATTTCGCTATAGTTAATTCGTTTTACCTTTCGCATGAAGGATTCCTCTGAGTAATTCTCGACCAATTAGAATCATTTAATTTCAGCCAATCATTTTACTCTGTATTGTATCTTTTTCTCCCGCGT